AAGAAGTCCAGACGCTTTTCTTTGCAAGCTCCTTTGACATTGATAGTAGTGGTTTGCAGTCAACTGCCTGCTACAACCCTTAGTAAATAATTTTTGTATGATTCATTTAAATGCTTTCCTCCCATAATTTTGCTCTCTGAAATCAAAGAATCTGCAAATACGTGCTGTATGCAAGGCCAGCTGCAAAAATAACTGTGTCCATGCTTACCACTGTGCCTCTACAGTAAGTACAGATAACACAAGTATTTTTTTTAATGCTTGGACAGAGCATTAGTAAATCTGGCCCACAGAGTGATGACAAAATTACATCAAAAATGAAAGAGTCACAGATTATGTGGCAGAGTGTTGATAATTATGGGCAAAAACCAAAAAAAGCACTCATAGTACAGAGGGGCTCTGTTGCTTATCCACTTTATAACAAAAGTGTATTATAATTGCTTTTTCATTTACTTTTAAAAGATATTTATTTCACATTTGTGTGATCTGAAAACCCCACATTAATCGTGAACTCAGGAAAAGCGGTTGTGCCGGTGTTGACGTCACTGGGATCTGCCTACAGCAGCACAAGCTTTAATTGTTCAGCTCTCTGAGGTGGAATATAAACAACACCAATCAAATCAGCCCCATTCTCTTTCCCTCGATTGACTCTAATAGTGTTTATGTTTCTCAGCAGGGGGGCGTTTTGTGTGTGTGTGTGTTGTGTATTTCTCCTCTCCATGGAGAGAACAGAAACTCTACATATTAAACAGCCAGGTATTGCTGCGCTCAGTGATGTAATTGAAAGTAATGAGATTCAACTCTCTCAGCAGGTGTTACAGCTTCAGCGTTGCGTGAGTTCCTGTGTGTGTGTGCGTGCGTGCGTTTGTGTGTGTACACGCGCATGCACGTGTGTAGGTAGTTTCTAGTGAACACAAAAAAAAAAAAAAAAGTAAAAAATATTTCACTGATTATCGCCTTCTTTACAGATGTTCTCATCTGGACCAAAATAATTAAATAAATAAATTCTGGATGTTTTAATGCTTCTTAAAGGTGTTAAGCTGACCGTTGAATAAACCATAGAGCCTGAGGCTAAAGAATCCTTTCTGATATCTACTTTCTAGAAAATGCTTTTATTCTTGTTACTCTGCCGACTGCCTCAGTGCTGAAAGAAAGAAATGAAACGCCTTCAAGGTGTCCTCAGCATCTATAAATGTGTGTTGAATGAAAAGCAGAAACAACCTGTATTGTTGTATACCTTTTAAATTAATTAATTAATGTTTATTTATGTAACATTATATTAAACTGCTCAACTGGTGTTTATTTAAAACTGACAGGAAATATGCAGATGACTTTATTTCATCTAAAAAAAATGAGTTCCTGTCTTTTATCAGGAATTTGGATGACATAGATGATTTTCTGGAAAAGAAAGGTGGTTTTTGAACCACCATGATGTATACAGTTAGGTCCATGACAATGACAAAGTTTTTGTAGTTTTATTTCTGAGTGATATATTTGCACTGGATCTTTCAATATGAGGAGAAACTGACATAAGTAAAGGGGGCAACTATTTGCCTGAAAAAACCTTTTGGCTCTCGGAGGAAGTGGATGCACTTTTTCTCCTCTCCCTTATCT